CATAGTGGCTAAGACACTTGCCTGCTAACCAGACGGCTGGCGGTTCAAACCCACCAGCCGCTCCTCGGAAGGAAGGTTGGGCAATCCTACTTCCGTAGAGATACTGCCTCGGAAACCCAAGGAGGGGTCGCTATGAGTCGGGTTTGACTCAACGGCACATAACAACAACATGGGTAGAAAAGCCACACTAAGTAATTTACTACACAGCATAAAGGTAAAGTGTTTCAAAGTCCTTGTATTTTAAGTGACAAAAGTAAAGATGTTTATTAAAATTAGAATGTTGTAAGATAGGCACACATGCTTGAATTTCTAGGACTAATCATTAAAGCACTAGAATAGGGTGTATAAAAGGAAGAAAAATAGAATTAAAAAAAAAAAACAAGAAAGGAGAGAAAAATAGAAAAAAAAAAAAACAAAACCCAGGGCAAATACAAAGCATAAAATAACAGAAATAAATTCAGATAGATCAGTAAACATAAGAAGTGTAACTGGACTAAGTACTCCAGTTAAAAGATACAGAGTATCTTTCAAAAATAAAACATACAGGGTGGTTATCAAAAACGTCAGGCATACAGATGTGGGAAGAAAAGCACAGAAAACAACCAATACCTGCCGTGCAGGCTGCACCATCGTTTCATTTGCATATAGTACACCAGACAGCACTTGCTATGGACTTGACTGACACCTGGTGACCCTGTGTGTCCAAGAGGAATTATGCTCTTTGGGGCTTTCAGTGGTGGAGTTCTTGGAAGCCGATTACCAGGCCTTTCTTCTGAATCTGTAAGTGTCGGAGAGTATTAGGAACACGTATTTTATGTAGCAAGCATTATGTACTATGATAAAATGAAATAAATTTTAGATGGTAAAATGATGGAGAATGCTGCATTTTGAGGTCAAGCAAATCCCAGCAATTTTTAATTATGTATTTACATATGTGGTTATTTAATCAAAGGCTGTCTCTTTCCTGGTGCAACATGCAAGAGGGTAGAACCGAGTCAACTCACCTGACCTTCCTGTCTCTGAATATTTATTGTATAAACAAATGGGATCTATTGGTAAGGATTCAGCCCTGTGCTTGTTACATGGTAAAGGTTCAATGTGTAAAACCAAACTCACTGTCATCCAGTCTGATCTGACTCAGAGCAACCACCCCAGGTGGAATCACTACGGATAGTAGCTCACCCAGTCTTCCGTCCTGGGAGTAGCTGGTGGGTTTGAACCGCCAGCCTTCTGGTTAGTAGTCAAGTGCCTTAAGGCACTAGGCCACCAGAGCTCCCATTCAATGTATTCAAAGCGTTCAGCTGAGTGGCACAAAATAAGCAAGCAGTAACTGGTTGTTTATTATATTTATAATTGCTAGTTAGGATACGTTGCACTGCCCAACACATCATTCACTCATAAACATCGTGCCTATAATAAGATTAATAAATAGTACATTCATTATTGCTCAAAGTCTTTACAGTTCCTGACACTGAACAGGCAAGGGAAAAGTGGAGTTTATTCTTATTAATTATTATTATGGAATAGAGCACTTAACGTAAGGGCTGCCGCCCAAAAGGCCTCTAATAAACGATTACTCTCTGCGGACTCGGTTATCATTTCTGGGCAGCCCACAGCGACCCCTCCTCCGAAGCCGCGCGAAGCCCTGCCCCCTGCCTGGGCCCCCTGTCCCGCCGCGCCTGCGCACTGCGCTCGGGAAGGGCTCTGCGCGCGCAGCTTCCCCGTAGCCCTTGGAGCCGGAGCAGGGCACCACTTCCCGCCGCGTGCGGCGTCGCTGCGTGCGTGCGTGCGTGCGTGCGTGCAGCGAGCTCGCCGGGCACCGCGGCCTCGGCCTCGCCCTCCGCCCCTGCGCCTACAGCGCGTAGGCCGCCCCCGCCCTCGCGCACCACACCGCGACCCCCGCCTGCTCCCCACCCCCCCTCCCCTTTTTTTTTTTTTTTTTTTTTTTAAAAAGTAAAGGGGGGGCCAAACTTCCCCCTCCGCCCCAGGTGGGTTCTGGGGGGGGTCCCCCCCCGCCAAAGGTGCCCCGCCAAGAAACATGGCGAAGGTGGAGCAGGTCCTGAGCCTCGAGCCGCAGCACGAGCTCAAATTCCGAGGTAAGCCGCGGAGGCCTCGGGCCCGGGCCGCCATCTTCCGGCTCGCGGGCCAGGCCCGGCCGGTGCCCCGCGTGGGCCCTGCGGCCCCACCGGAGTTGTAGCGGGGACAGCCCCGGCGCCAGGTGACGTCGGCCCGCGCCTGCCTTGCGTCCCGACAGCTGTCAGGAGCCGCCTGGCGTGCGGGGGCCCTGGTCTGCTCCGCCGCCCACAGTCTCCCCGGGCGCCTCGCCTTCGAGGCACTTGTCACAGTTGTCATTGTCAGTGTTACCGCCTAGTTTGCGGTCTTCTGCTCTAGAGTGTAAGCACTGGCTGCGCCGTTCGCCCGGAAGTTTCTTTCCCAGCTCTTGACAGGGTTGACCTCCCAGGTGTCAGCTGTCCCCACCCAGGGAGCCAGGGGACCGCGGTCCTTCCCCGCCGCCGCTCGCGTCCAGGGTGTGCGCGGCACTTGTCAGCACCCACAGTACTCGCTCAGCCGCTTGTGTACCGTCTCTGCTGCGCTAGAGGGGAAGCTCGGTGAGGACAGGGCAGTGCCGCCGCGCCCACCTCACGCGCTGGTCTGCGTCTGCTGTGCGCACGAACCAAAGGAACCCGCCCCGGAGCTGCGGTGGGACATCACCCAGCCCGCCCCCAGAGCCTTGCTCCCTCTGCGCTGCAGCTCCGGGAGCCCGTTTCTCCCCAGAGCCGCCCGGACGTGGAACTGAGCAGCGCGTGAGTGTGTGGCGGGCCGGAGCCTTGGTTCCTGGGTGCACTTCCCACCACCTCGGTCACTTGGACCTTTTAAGTGCATGAGACAGCGCGGACCTTGTGTGACTTACTCGTTAAGTCTTTCCGCGGTTGTTAAAACGTTTAGCTGTGGTAGGCGTGTCCTTGGCACTGGGAGACAGTAGTGACCAAGACAGACCAGGCTCCTGCTTTCAGAGTGCTTCCGCTCTAAGGAGAGGAGACAGACCAGCACACACACACACACACACACACACACACACGCACACACGATCATTGCAGGGAGCGTGGAGTGTTGGGAAGGAAATCCCATGGCTGACACGATGGGGGTACACTTGAGGCAACTTTAAATGTGACTGCCAGACCACCACTGTATCCCTAGCACCCGGCCACAGTAGGTGCTCAGTAGGTGTTTGTGGAGTGACTGCTGGCCAGGGCACCCTGGCTATGTGCACTGTAAGGAAGCAGTGTAGGATGACTTGTCCAGAGTTAGCTGTTGGCAAGTGGCACATTTGACCCCAGACTTTAGAGCCTGCACTCTTAACTGTTATGCTGTGTGACTCCGGGGAAATACCCCAAAACTGTGACTGTCACTTTGCCTCCTGGGTACCATTTCAGGCAGAGGGAATTGCATGTGTAGGATGAGGTGCAAAGGTGGTGTTGACTGGACCCCTTTGGGGTGCTGCTGGTAGTTCTGGATGTTATTGCACAGTGTTGGGGGTTCAGGGCCAAGTGGAGACAAGGCTGGTCAGTAGACAGGAGTCGTCTTCTGAGGCCTTTGTGCATGAACACAGTCAGTGTCAAAGTTAGCCTCGTGCTACGGCTCAGCACACAGTCTGTCTGTGATTGACCGCAGCAATTCCACGCCCCCAGCCCTCCATACAAGCACTCGCTCTGACCTGGTGCTACCGAAAGAAGCTCTGATTGGATAAAATGCACATTTTTGTTTTAGTTCTTTCCCTTAAAGATGTACCTTGGGCGGGCCACTTCGCTCCCCAAAGCCTCGCGCTCCATCATTCCTTAGAGGTGACACTCATAGCCCACTTGCCTCCTGCGGAAAGCTTTGCTGTCGTTTAGAAACAGGGACTGTGGCTGTTCAGCTCCTTTGTTGGACAGATGTCAGTGGTTGTGTCTAGACAGCTGGCTTTCATCACTTCACCTTTTCTTTGCCTGGAAGGTGTAGCAGAGAAGAGTGAACCATCTAGCTCTGGGTTGCCCAAAGCACTGATGGCCAAATTCACTGGATGTTTGTCCTGGGGAAGTGGCCCAAGAGAAGGCCTGGTGTCAAATTGTGGAAGACCATTGGCTCACAGCTTCAAAGAGGCCTGTGTAGGTATGTGTTAACCATATTATGACGTGTTTTTTTTTTTTTTTTTAAGGTGAATAGACAATGACATCGGAATTGAGGCTCTATACCCTGGCTTGCTGTAGAGAGAGAATTCGTTGGAAGGTGAACACTGGCACATTTAATTGACTTCTTCCAAGTACCTCAGGGTGATGACTCTGACTTCCTGTAGTTCACTTGGAAGAAGGCTCAGGCTTCTAAGCTAACTTTGTTTGTTGTTGTTGTTGTTATGTGCCATCGAGTCAGACCTGACTCATAACGACCCCTCCTTGGCCTGACTCATAATGACCCCTCCTTGGATTTCCGAGGCAGTATCACTACGGAAGTAGATTGCCCCATCTTCCTTCTGAGGAGTGGCTGGTGGGTTTAAACTGCCAGCCTTCTGGTTAGCAGTCAAGTGCCTTAGCCACTATGCTAACGTTATAGTTAAAATGTCTGTCACCTAAAGGGAAAAAAATTAGTCCTCTACGCTTCCTCAGCCTATGGAGCTCTGGTGGCGTAGTGCCTAAGGCATTTGAGTGCTAACCAGAAGGCTGGTGGTTCAAACCCCCCAGCCACTCCTCAGATGGAAGGGTGGGCAGTCTACTTCCGTAGTAATACCGCCTTGGAAACCCAAGGAAGGGGTCACTATGAGTCGGATCTGATTGGATGGCAGTGAGTTTGGTTTTAGGATGATGGGAAGGGATTGTGTATCATTGGATTCTTTCTGAGCTTGGGAATTTGGGGGGTTTTGTGAAATTTAAGGATGTTACAGAAGAAATGAGGACAAGATTTATGTCATCTTGTTTAGTCTTACAGAACATACCATACTGCAGAGTGCTAAATAGCAAAGGAGAAAGACCGGGGCCTTCTCCAGAGAAGACGGTGGGATTTGCCTAGATTGGGGTTGGTTCTCATGAGACCTTTTGACGACGTCAGCAACGTGAGCTCTCTCAGCCCGGGGGGACTCTATGAGAGTTAGAGCACTTTGGAGACCTGTGGAGTGTGAGCCCTTTGCATTGTCCCTCCTTTACTGACCTCAGTCCTGCCCAGGCCTGCCCTCTGCTCTCCGGCTCCTCGCTGAGGCCCCGCTGGTCGCCCAGTGTTCTGAATGGCTCCCTGTCAGGGCATTTGTATCTCTTTCTTCTCCTCTCCCTCCCCCTCCGTCAGATTCTGTCTGCAGTAAATAGTGTGTCTTGTATTTTTTTGGTCTCTCTCCAAGACTCTTAATCCTTCTCCACATCCTGCCGTACCCCCTGGCGATGATACTGTCACACAGGTGACTAGTCCAGGTTCAAGTCCACTGTGGACCCATTTACCATGCTTTATTCTGAAACTGCCAGGAGTCTTCAAGAAGTCTCTGAGTCTCCTTTGGTCAGCAGGGATGTCAGTGGGAGAGCACCCATAGATTGGGGTGGTTGGTCACCACTTTGGGGAGAAAACAGGAACTTGGGCACTTTAGATGGTAGGTATCTTGATGATACTGTCTTTCGTATGAGGAAAGCATATTTAGGATATGATCACAACTTCACTCTTCAAGTTGATACATAATCTAAGATTGTTTAGGAAATTAAAAATATAGAAAACCCTGTGGATGTAGTCAATACAATGCAGTCGTTATCTTTCGGATTTTAAGTACAGCACTAATTCTTTAGCTTCAGTGTAGCCCTGATTTCCTTAACGTTTCATGGCCGCATAGAGCAGACTGTTTCACAGTACAACAGAATGTCAACAGTGTGCTTAAGATTCTTTATGGTAGTGCTTTAAGTCCGTCCTGAAGAGACTGTCTTCACTTATTTAATTATTAAAAGAACAAGTGGCATTAAACTTGCTGCACTTCAGTTAGACTTGAATCTTCATAGATCATGGTATTTCCTTCTGAGTTCCTGTTCCTGGGAGGAAAGTGTACAGAAGGTAACTCTCTTTGATCCATTTGTTTGCTTCTTCACAATTAACTCTTTAGGGGAAAAACATTGATAGTTCTTGGCCATGTGCTCTTATTTGGAAAATGGTAGTGTTTCCTTGGTGTGTGTGGTTATAAACATGCATCACAGTTTCCTTAATGCCTGCAAACTTTTCCTCTAAGTGTGAATTTATTAAAATAATTAGTCTGAATTGTTGCTTATTAAGGAGATGAACTCTTAAACATTATTAACGTTATCTTTTTTTTTTTTTTAATTGTGATTTGGGTGAAAGTTTACAGAGCAAATTCACTTTCCATACAGCAGCTCACATATACTTTGTCTCATGACATTGACTGCAATTTCCCACAATGCAACAGCTCCCCTTCCACTTCCTCCTGATAGTTACCTCTGCCCTCTGTCCTTCCCTCCCATGCACTCCTGCCCCCTGAGCTGTCTCTCTGTGCATACACAGCCCTTCTATTCTCTCATGATCAATCTCTCCAAGGAATGTATGTACCTAATGTAAATGCTCAGCTCATGTGCCTGTCTTTTTCTGGCTGGCAGCCACAGGAGTGGGTTCTATTCCAGACCTGAAAGGCAGCTAGGGACCATAGTCTCAGGGGTTCTATCAGAGCAGCAAACCTGGACTTTTTTTTTTTTTCCTAAATGATTTTGAGTTTTGGTTCACATTATTCTCCCACTCTGCCCATGATCTCCTGCATAGATTCCCCTCCGAGTGGTTGGCAGTAGTAGCCAGGTACCATCCAGTTCTTCTGGTCTCATAGTCATATAGGCTGAGGATTGCATGGTGTACCCATTGGTTGGACTAATTGTTTCCGTGTGTCTTTGCTTTTCTTCATTCTTCTTTGCTCTGGATGAGGAGAGAGCCATTGTTGCACCTAGATGGCCGCTTGCAAGCTCTTTAGAGCCTAGTCGCTACTCACCAGAGTAGGATGTGGAACAGTGTTTGAGCGTCCAACTACTTGCTCCCCATGGGTAGCTGGCTGTTAACACTATCTTTTACTTATTAGAGTTATGTAGCACTTTACCTG